TTGATTTCTGAAGGGCACTCCATGCTATAAATGATTCTTCCCTAGACTTTTCTCACTGTTCCCTGCATACTGTGCTCCGGTGTTTCCCCAGTCTCTCCAACCATTCCTTCAACCTCTGGCCTCTCTTAGTTTCAAAGTTTCAAAAACTACTAATACTCACTTCTTTGTCTGTTACTATGTTGCTAGGAGAAGTACTTGACTGGCTAGTTAAAAGAAATCGGGCCAATGTCATAATGGTGTGTGGCTGGCCTCCCACATAGCCGACCACGGTACGAGCCCCAGACCCAGAAGCTTAAAACTCATACCAAATGCGTGTGCGCATGTGGCCGAAATCCCAGAAGGAGAATGGATGAGAAGGGACAGTGGCGTGGCCATCCAATGGGGGGATTTCTTGCTTTCTGTTTCTCTCTGTCTCTCTGGCAAGTGCACACACATCTCCTATAGCAAAAACCTCTACAAAAAAATTAAATAACTGAAAAAGAAATCGAGTTTAATAACTCACAAATCTGGTGGCTGGAAAGTGCAAGGGCATCACAAGATGGCGGAAGGCGGCACTTTCAGCAGAACGTGGTCTGCATCCATGTGGCTTCCTCTCTGCCATCCTGGTACCACGCTCGCTGTGCACCTGCCATAACTGTTACGGAGGCCCTGCCCTGATGCCGTCACCACAGCCACAGGCCTCGCCTCGGGATGTGATGCAATCAATACGATACGTCCCAACACAGCGATTTCCAGGGGACGTCCAACCCCTGCCCACTTAGACTGAATTCCCAAACATGAAACTGTGGGGGTCAAACCATGACCCAAACCTTAATGACTCATGATCTCTAAACCTATCTTTAAAAATATCAGGCCGGCACTTCAAATGGCTCAGAGGGTGTCTTGTTCTGGTTTGCCACAGGCAATTCACACTTGTTTAAAACCGAATCTGTCATCTTTTTCTTCAAAATCTGTTCCATCTCCCATTCTCAACCCTATTACTCCAAGTGAAAGCGGGACCCTCCCCTCCGCGCCCCTCGGCCCTCCCCTCACACCACCCTTACCAAGCCAGTGCTCTGTGCCTCCTCCCGTGTTCTCATCCTTCCTGTCTCACTTAGAGCCTCTTCTCTCTGGCTGACTACTCTTATAGCCTCCTCCATGTCCTTCCTGCTCCAATCTGTCGCCACACGGCTGCCAGCCATTCTAAAAGACACATCTAGCCTGGAGGCTGGGGACTGCATGGGAGCCGCAGGTTTGGTTCCCGAGCCGATCTGAGCATGCTGGTGTGGCAGGGCGTGCCCACGATCCCGGGGCGCTGGGAGGCTGGGCCAGGGAGACTGCAAACTAGCAGGAGCCTGTAAGGAACGCCTATCTTGGACTCCTGGCACCATAGCACAGAGGTTAAGTGCAGCCATATCCCACATGGCTGACCGTGGTTCAAATCCCAGTTTGGTGGCTTGAAAAGCACACTAGGGGTGTGTGCGAGTGTGTGTGTGCCCAAATTTCAGATGGCATGGAAAAATGGAAGCAAGAGTACTGTGGGCCCCTGTTGAAGACCTCTCCCTTCCTTCTTTCCCCTCTTATTCTCCCCTCCACTCCCTTCTTCTCTGAAGAAATAAATACATTAATTTTAAAAAGAGAGATGCGGAATAAATGAATGTCATAAGCTTTCACATTCAATTTACAGAGCTACTTACGATAGAGCATTACTTTGTATTTTCAGACTAGAAATATCACTACCCACAGTATCATTTAAGAACGCGGTTCAGGTCTTCAAATTAATAGGCTACCAGATAAACTTATTTCCACTCTCTCATAAGCTTTTTAATTACAGTGTCTCTCTTGCCCTGCAATACAGCTCTGCTGCAATCAACTCCAGAAGCTCCTGAGTCAGTGCCGCTCAGTGCTACTACACAGGCGTTACCAAGGTGAGAAAGCTGTAAACCAACTGATGACACTCACATTCCAGTCTTGTTTCCACGGACTCCCAAACAGGTCAGCACTGCTGCAGTAACGTGGGTTCCAGGCTGGGGCGATGGGAC